ATTCATAAGACTTGTCTTTTCTTAGGAATGTATCCGAGCTTTAGGGCAGAACAAATCTCATACCCCTTTCCGGGAGAGCAAGCTGACCCAGGTGCTAAGAGACTCTTTCATAGGAACAAACTCGAGGACCTGTATGGTAAGCACGCACATGGCACAAACACACACACTGCTTATGGGTTCTGCAATTTGACCAAATAGCTGCATGCTCCTCTAGAGTGAGGGAACTTTAAAGTCAGGAAGCTTCAGTTCTCGGAAAGTCATACAGGTTTTCCTGCTCCGCTCTCCTACAATAACTGAAATCAAGAACCGGTGAGCTTTGCTCAGCCCCAGTAGAAGCAGGACTGCAGAAGTCATGTTCATACAGTGAATCTACAGTAGAGCCTGGTGTGCTCTCAAAGGGCTTTGCTTCCCATGGAGGGTGCAGCACGGTGGGTGTACACAAAGCCAGTGGAAAGCTGGATACAGGGCCACTGGCATGTCCCACAGAAGCCATAAAGAAAAATGGTCTTGGCCGAATGTCTCAACTCTGACCTTTGCTCTAACATGGCCCAGCTGCCTGGTGAGATCTGCTGGGCCATTAACATGAGCAAAGGTCAGATGTGGGAGTCACTGAGGTCTTCTGTTCTGTTTGCAGATAGCAATGATTTCTCCAGGAATGAGTTCGTGTGAGTACACCTTAAACACACTGAGATACGCTGACAGGTAATGGCCTTTCTGACTTGAGTATTCTACTCTTCTTGCAGAAGGAGTTTTGGTTGCTTTTATTCTGACCAAAAGTTCTCTTGTTGTCACTGCCTGTATAGCAATTTGGAAGTTGTTTGTTAGGAGCAAATTATTTTAGAGCTGTCTTATGAAACTAACCTGGGTGTTTTCTGTGTGAAACATAACAGACATTTTATTAAACCATGACTAATGTCTCCTTTCCTCTGGGAGAAGGAGTCTCTCAGCTAGACTTCAGACTGCCCTGGTTTTGTAGGGAGTTTACCCTGTCCTGAACGGTTACCTCTGTGCCCTTTACTTTTTTGTAATACTTTGGGTCCCATCTGTAAGTGGTGTGCTAAGGTGGCGTCTCTGACATGGCCCTACAGATGACACAACACTTGCTGTTCTTGATGAACTTTGATATGAACTAATAGGGTATGGCACCTTGGAGACTTTAGGCAAAATCTGAAGGACCTGGAGATCTCAAATGCCTTGAAGCAGATGGTGGGCGTGTGTGTTTTCAGTGTCCTGTGCTTGACCTTGGGTACCTGCAGGGCAAGGTAGACTTGCAAGGACTGAGCCCCGGGTTTCCCTGGGGGTCTTGCTGATACCTGGAATCCCTGACAGCAGTGAGTGCCTCCCAGTCTCTGCTTTACGTGCCACTACACCTCTCTGAAGTGACAAGTAAAAAGGAGACTGTGACTTTTCTTATATATTAACAAGATGACACTTGCACACTTCAGGCTTGGTAGCTTTCCTTCATTTAGTTCACAAAAGGCTGCTTGGTTCCTTCCTGGAAAACGTTCCACTCCCTGAAAGGATGTATGGTAATTCTGGTCATAAGCATTCAAGAACACTGAATCTTGACAAAATTCCCAGAATTGGTTCTGGATTGAAGTTGTGTGCTTTTTTCTTCTGGTGGACAGTCATTCTTGAATACAGGATAAAATGCAACATCTGACTTACTGTGCTTCAGTAAGATTCTAGTGTTGAGTTGGGCCCATTGGTTCTTAGCCAGTGCACGAGGCAAGTTCAAGCTATGAGAAAAGGGGTATTAGGCTGAAATTCAGTGGAAATATGAAGATGACACTAGTAACTAGAATGAAATGCCCAGTTGGTATCTGACATCTACTTCTGGTACTGTGTCATCAGCCATGGCTTTTGTCCTTATTATAGACCTATTCAGGCACAGTGGGTCTCTAGGAAAAATCAACCTTATTCCTTTTCTTTCTATACTAAGTTCTCTTAGTTGGTCATGACAGACCAAGCTGACATGTGGAAGACAGCTTCTGTGAAAGGCATTGCTGGCAATTAGCATTTTATACTTGGACATTTCTCTCCAGGAAAGGTCCTAGATTGAGCACTGAGGCAAACACCTCTCACCTTTCCTTCCTACAGCCCTCTGGGATTTCTACCCACGTGAGCTAGTTCTGGGGGTGGTAATGCACAGCTTAAGTGCAGCTGAATGTCTCTTGCTGAGCAGTGATTGCAGTAGTTGTTGTTTTGTGATGTTGTAGCCCAGAAACTGCTGGAAGAAGTCTGAGTGACAAATCTTCTTGTTGCAGAGTGAAAGAGCTCAGCCCTCATAATGGAGGTGGTGAAACACAGAATCAGATGGAGACTGAGAATGAGGAAACACAGAGCAGTGGAGAAGGCTCAGATCACAATGTATGTGTGTGCAGTGGGCTGAACAGATCTCAAAGCTGGGAACAACTTGCCGTTCTTACTTGGACTGTTTCTTGCAGCTTTCCAAGGATGAGGAGGAAGATATCTCTCCCTACATGTTCAACTTCCGTGAGGCTATGACTCAAATTAGCGAACGAGAGGAGAAGGCTGTAGAACAGCTTAGAGAACTGAGACAGGTATGTGGAAGAGGCAAGTGCAACCCAGGCTGCCTTCTACATGTTGTTAGCACCTTGCCTTGTCTGAGCCAAGTGCTGCTGGGTAGGCTGTGGGCTGTACTGCAAGATGCTGTCAGTGGTATTAATTTTTCCTCACTGCCAACTTTTTCCTGTGGTTTCCTGCCCAACTGGTTAAACTGGGGCATTTCAGTGCTTGTGGCTAGCTGGTCCCCCTTGCCCTCCAACTAGCAACATCTACTTGCTGTTAATGAGCACTGACTGGTACTGGTCTGTAGAAGCTCAGTTCTGTTGATAGGTGTGCCAGATTTGAAGACACTAATTGAATTTCCAGAAAGTCAATTTCTCATCACTGTTGTTCTTCTAAATATAGAGAATGCTGACTGAACTTGAATACCTCTTGGGAATCACAGAGCAACCAGACTATGATCTTGAGACCTTTGTGAGCAGAGCTAAGCACTTCACAGAGGAGAGCTTAAGAAAATTCCTTGGTGTCAGAGGTATGTTAGTGCCTGTTTCTCACTAGTACTGTCACTAATGTTTGTTTGGTTTTTCAAAAACCTGAAAGTACCACCAGCATACCTGTGGGGGTTTGAGCACCCAGTCCTTCTGCATAGGTTATGGTTCAGTTCACTTTCTTAGGTGATCACAGGGACAGATCTAAAATATCCTATTGTCTGCACTTTCCAAAATAAAATTTTGGCTCATAACTTCCACTTGCTTTGCTCTGCCATATAAAACTGCCTTTCCTTGAACAGAATGCAGTATCCACCAAAAGCAGATGAGCTGAAGTTTGTTTGGCTAGTCGGCTATATAGTTTACCTTTTGCCTTGGCCAAAAAATATACTTTGAGAAATAGGTCCCAGTGCCACATATCAAAGTGAACTGTTAACCTGAAGTAGTGACTTTATTTTTTTTTTTTTTTAAACAGCCCTGACTGTCCTCCCATCTCAAATACAGCCTGATAGCTGTATCCCACCATTCACCATGGAGGGGTGGTGACAAGAAAACAGAAGTAAATGCCCTGCTACCCTCTCTGCCTTAATAGGCCAGGGAAATCTGGCCCTGTGGGATGGCTGGATTAGTGGCATCTAGTTTGAACTGCAAACTGCAGGCTTGAAACTGCTGATGAGTAGAAATGAACAGTTTGAGTACAGCTGAAGAGCTTTGTGGGACCAGGCAAGATTTGATGTTGGCTGAGCAGTTCTTGCAGAGTTCACTTTCCTCTGTGGCCCTTGCAGAGCCCTGCTGAGGGGGACAGCTGGGCTGGGGAGTTCAGCTTCCAGGTCAGTCACCCTGTCACTCTCTTCCTTTACAGAAACGTTGGATGCCCTGGGAGATGCCATGCAACTGGAGGAGCAAGCCAGCAAGCAGATAAGCCAGCAGAGGCGTTAGTAAATACAGCAAAACCTGGTTCACAAGCAATCTTCTGTATGTCTCGCATGTTTGTCAGTGGTTTGTGTAACTCGTATTTTAAATGTGGTAGAGTGTCTGTGGGTCGTGTGCCTGAGGGTGGTGAACATGGCAGGCGCTCTCTCTTCATGATCTGCTATCAGGGTACTCGGCAGAATGCTAGAAACATCCCCTGCAAGGCCTGGGGATGGGAGGCATGACAGTCTGCTAGATGTGTCTAGCATCTGGCCCTTTACTAGTGACAATGGTCTCTTCTAATAGAACTAGATACACATGTATAGTTTTCTAGTGTACATATAACTTTTCCAGATGTGCTTGAAGCCTTGCAGAACTGTTGCAAGTCTGGCTATATGTAATTGTAAAAAATCAGTATTTTAAGAAGTTTGATAAATAAATGTTCATGGAATTAATTATCTTCTATCTGATAAAAGATATTTCTTGCTGATTTTTGGTGAAGTCTAACAGCCCCGAAAGACTGGCTGGTGTTGTAGAGAGGCTGATTTCTTGGATGAGGTCTCTTTTTAAAGTCTTTACACTTGTAATATTTACATAAAAATCACTCAAATTTTGAGATTTTGCTGAGTACAACTTGCCTAGCAAGGGGGAAGCTGGTTTAGAGGGTACCTATCCTGCACCTGAGCAAAGCTCAGTGTGTAGTCAGAAGTGCTGAGCCACTCAACATCAAGTATGTAGGAAGGGCCCTGTGAGACTCCCTGGTACCACTGGAGTTTAAATAGGCTTTGAAGATAGCCCTGGGGTGTTACTTCATGTTTTTTCATGTGTACTTCCCATGGCTAATGTGCCACATAATACATATGTCAAAAGGCCACCAAAATCTGTATTTGAGGACAGAAGTGCAATGCTGGTCCCTGGCTCAGGTACAGCAAGGTGCTGCCATGGCCCTTATGTGCAACCTGGGTGCAGCTGACCCCATACAACCTTTCCCCTGGGAAAGAGCAGGCAGAGGGGCAGGGTGGGGGAGGACAGATGGAAGGCATGTGCTGCTGTCCTCAGTTTCCTGTCTCTTCAGCTCGCTCCAGGGTTTGTCTCTGAAAGGACAAAACAGCCCTGTGAGCTCTGGGTCCAGCAACACAGGATGCAGCTATACAAACATTGGATTACAAAGGGACCCTTCTACTGTTACTCGCTCTTCCCCTAGATGCCCCCAACCTAGTCTGTTTCCTGAACTGTCTTTTTCCCCTGAAAGTAAAGGGTGTAATTTAAGTGTCTGTGCCCCCATCTCTGCACACACCTTCTGTGGACTGCATCCTTGCCATGTCTCTGGAGATGTCTACCATATTGGAGGCCAGTTCTTCAGCCTGGACTGGATCCATTTTTGTGTACCAGGTCTCAGGACTATCCTGAAAAAGGCAGCAAAAGAGTTATGATCTTAATGGGAGCTAGGCAAGGAGCAGTAACAAGCAGCTAGAGGAGGGATACTTCAACCCAGACAGGATCTTCCCCCACAGCCGGGGCACTTTGTGATCAACAGTTTAGGTACTGGGAGCAGCGTGGGGTTGAGTGCTCTAAGGGCCTCTGAACTGTCAAAGCTGATTTGTACCTGGGCTCTGCCTGGATCATGTTCAGATAGTATATCCAGAGCAAAAGGGCTCTACTGAGGTTTGGACTAAAGCAAGGCAGTCCTGTTCTGCTTCAGATGGTACTACACTTAGATTATCCATCCTTGACCAGTGGCGTCTTGGGGTAAGGATGGGCCTGGGTGCGAGGATCAAAATGTTAGGTCCAGGGAGAGAAGGTAGAACAACCACTGCTTGCTTACTACTCTACATCCACCCCAGGAGCTACAGTCAGCAGGGACCTGATCTGGAGGAGCTCAAGTCCCCTTTTGTCTCATTTGGCCCTTCAGCTCACACCTCTGACATCAAGTTCCCACTGTCACAAAAGGAGCAGGAGTGTGAAATGCCTTCTTGTTCTGTCCTGGGGCTGAATCAGAGCAATTATTTTCCTGAATACTGAGACTGAAAGTGAACGCTTCTCAAAGGGTGGCTTGGTTTATTTATGGGCTCTCATGCAAGACTGGATTTCTTATGAAAAGAAATCTTGTCCCTACATCCCTTCAAAACAGACCAAGGTCCTAGGGCTGTTAATAAACCCCATAAGGGAGGCATGTTTACCATAAAGCGCCGGAACAGTGTGTGTCCTAGTGTCGCCTTTACGCACTCCTCCACAAAAGGAAATGTGTGGACAAAATACTGCAACAGAACAGAGAGTTGGTGTGTAGGGAGAAGGGATATGAGCGAGTGTACAGAGGGTAGAGCTGCATGAATGATATGGCTCCAGATAACCTGTCTCATGTGCGAGGGAGTCCCTGACCCACCTCCTTTAGTGTCCGTGCTACTGATGGTACTTCATAAACACACCAAGAGGAACTTGTGCATCCCTGCTCAAGACTCACCTTCTCACACCTCTACCTTCCCCCAGTGCCAGTTCCCACCTTCACTTACAAGAGGAGGGGGGGTGTTTCAGTGCAACGATTGCAGTGCAGTAGTTGCCAGGGAGTTCATCCTGCTCAGAGGAAGGGTGCACTGACCCTCTGCATTACTAGGTAGGTTTGTAAACCTTTTTCTCCCTGAGCAGCCTGGTTCTCAGCCATCACTCATTTAGGTGTTCCCATCTACTGACAGCATGGTCCTTCCCTGTGGCTGTTACACAGGCAGAGCTGTGCTGAAGCAGGCCAAAACTCTTTACCAAGCACCAGCCTGCTTATAATTCTGCGCTAGTGTCTTGCTCCAGGCAAATTGTCTTGGTTAGCCCCTTAGCTCTGTCTGTGCTTGCTACCCTCAGCAAGCATGGGGTCAGAACAGATGTGTGACGGTCCCAATATTGGCTTTTCAGTGCCCTGTTTGTGCTGGGTGGCAGGAGGGAGGCAGACAAAAGGGGAAATACAGCTCCTTCCCAAAGGAAGTATCATTCCCGCCTTTGTGGATAACCCTGTGTCTCCTATGCTTAGAAGAAAAAAAAACAAAACACAGCATAGGGAGCCTTTCTGCTCAGGTGCTCTGGGAGGAGACTACATGCTACAATGTCCTCTGCCATGTACCACCACACTCACCTCCAGGGAGATGCTGGCATGTCTCTGGCTGGCCACGTGATCCAGGTTCCCCACAGCAACCATCAGGCCATGTACCACTTTCATCTCGATCAGTTCTTCAGCCACTCCTGCTGACTCCTTGGCTAATACACTGCAATGAGAAAGGTCATCAGCCCCTACCCCCTGTGGGGGAAGAAGCACACAGCAAGTTGAGTCTAGACCTCTTGGTGCGATCCCAATGGAAAATAATGTGTTCCTACCCTGCCTTAGCAACACCATCAGACAGGAGAGTCTCAAATTAAACAAGAAATCTTTGCCTGTGCACAGATTAGCAATCCTTTAACATGTGGGCTTGCTGGGAACAAATTAGTTAATGATTGTCAGGAGCTTCCTGGGGTGTATTAAAGTCTAGCAAGTTTCTTGTGACCATGAAGAACCCAGGACTCAAACACCACCACCATCACTTCTGGGAACACGTCCCTAGAAAACACTCCGGTATGTCTCCTTACCCACCAAGGGCTTTCTGACATTTGCTTTTGCAGGAAAAGTGTTCTGATAGCACTATCTTGTGGACATTGCAGGAAATTGATACTGAAGGAACAAATTTTAGCACAAATGGCTGCATTTCCTTAAGGATTCTGCAGTAAATCATAGGCACTAGACTCTTCCATTGGGTGGTTGATGTTAAACAAGGGTGTTTCACTGCTTGCTGTGGCTCCCAGCTATGTGGAGAACAGAATGGCCTCAATCAATATAACACCCTTAAGCCCTGAGACTGTGGTGGGGCACACACATTGCTTCCAGGCCCAGCTATAAAGGCGACACTGACAGCACACAGGGACAGAGCAGATGGGATTCCACATCTCCCTATAAATAAAACTTCAAGCCAGCTCCAGTATCAAAAGCAAGGAGGGTCTGAGCACTGCTACCTGCAGGCAGTGGCTCTGCCCTATTCCTGAGCACACCTCATCTCCAAACAGCCGTATACGGGAGTCTGGGGTACTCAGCCAGAGAGCAGTGCCACAGGTGAAGGGGTGAGTGCTCCCTGGGAGGAACCCCTCCCAGTCCTTTCCTACCCAAAGGAAGCCACCTCTCTAAGGTCCCTTTTATGCTTCTGTAGGTTTTGCTCCAGAGTTTCTTACCCGATGGCTTTTGCAGCAGCTGCCTGCTGAATATAGACCAATGCGGGCTCCCTCAGGCAAAGCGTGGCTGGGTCTGCATGAGAAACATTAGGAAGGTGAGAATGCTGCTTTGAAACACTTCCAAGGGAGGGGAGGTGCAGTTACACTGCTAACACGAAAGGGTGATGTCTTTCAGGGAAACCCCGTGACTATGTACCATATGAAATACCCTGCAAAGATCTGTGCGCGTGATGCCCGTGGCAGCATAGCCGTCGCTCGGAGAGCCCAGTCTCTGC